GGTTTCACCTTAGTTGCCTTAAGCTTTAAGTCCTTAGGTACTCGGTCGCAAATGAAATTATCTCTCTGAGCGTGGTTATTTCCCCAATTCCCAATGGAATCTCCTCCAGCTCGTGTAGGAACCAAACTTTGAGCCGCTCGAGGCGCAGGAAGTGCGTGGACTCCACCTTCCACTGTTGTAGATCAAAGAACGTCACGATTTTCAAGTATTTCAGGCTCGAGAATCCACCCTCGGTTGTTTCCCACTTGGGCCCCGCAAACGCATTATTAGATAGCTTGAGGACCTCGAGACATGGCAACGACCCTATCTTTGTCCCCATCTCCTCCCACCTCAGGTACGTGCCTTGCAGATCCAGCTTCCTGAGTGAAATAGAGAACGACGTCATCTCCATTTGTGGATTGATACATGCACCCCATGAAATTGAAAGGCACTCCAACTTGCGTAGCCTGCAGAGATTGTCGACATGGTGATTGGGCGACGATAATATCTTGTTGTATACTATTTCCAGCTTCTTGATATTGGGGATTCTCTCAATCACATTTTCATCCAACCTCAAGTTCCATACTAGCTCGAGTGTCTCTAGATTCTCCAACACCATCCGATCACCGTTTTCAGCTTCATCCATTGGAGGAGGAGGAGGAGGATCCTTGAGCCAGAGTATCCATACCTTGACGTGCCTCAGTTGGGGCATCCGCCAGATGTCCAACTTATATGACCTATCACCTAATATTAACGTCTGTAAATTCTAGAGTCGGTAAAATATTTCGTTTGGGATATCAATTCCTCTGGCAACCAGATGGCACAAGTTGGCAGGAAGAAAAAATTCATCTCCAGATGGATCGCCGTAAAAATATGAACCATCTAATTCTTGCAGAACCCTAAGCAATCTAAAAGAAGCTATAGATGGTATATGTCCATCGACTCTCAATATGAGAGTTCGCGCTTGTGATGCAGATTGCACAGCTTCAGGGAGTGGACGGTGGGGAATGCGTGTCTCGGCTGGGTGAATGCAGATACGGTGTTGGTCGCGCCAGCTTTTGTCGTGGACATTAATGTTTTGTGTCGTGCGGAGGAATTTGTATTTCTCGGCTTCGTTTATGCATAAGTCTCTCAGAAGATCGTGGATGCCACACAATTTTATTCTTCGAGTAGGGCCCAACTCACGAACCAAGATTAGGTTTCTGAGGACGAGATCATGTAGGTACTTTACTCTAGCAACTGTTTTCAAGCTTTTACCAGCCTCCGGTTTCACGAATCCTGTTGAGTCCGGCCCAATTACGGTGGGCTTGGACTAAATAAGGGCCAAAGGCCCATTCTCTTTAATAAAAAGACTAAAAAAAAATCTTCTTGATATAACCTACGCAGCGCAGTAACGTAGAAGAAAAAGGAACAGAAACAAGTTTATACACTCATCTTTTTCATTCCCGCAACTGCACTACGCAGTCACAGGAAATCGCCGATTCCCGGAGATTTCACCGTTGGATCGTCACCAAATTTGGACAGCAGTTTCATAACTTCTTACTCTTCGTTGTGAACGGTGGAGATCGGATTTTGAGCACTTTTGGGCTGTCTGTTCGTAAGTGACGTGAAGGGAATATTTTGGGGTGTTTTGTTGAATTGTTTCTTGTGGTTTGCCAAGATCTTGTGTTGTGATCTTGAAGATTGTTGTTTGCCTCTAGTTTGATGAACTAGAGAGGATTTCAGTTGTACTCATTATCGGATTGAATAGTGGATGATTTAAGCGGCCTACGGGTCCCGTGGTTTTTACCCAATTTGGGGTTTTCCACGCTAAAAATCTCGTGTCATTTTATTGCTTGCTTGATCGTTGTTTGGTTGCTCTTGCTTGTGGTTATTGTTGTTGTTGATTGGACTTGGTGCTTTATTATTCGGTTAAAGTCATCTTTGTTTGGTGGCTTTAACCACAACAAAGTGGTATCAGAGCGCCAGGTTGGTTCGTGTACCTTGTCCAAATCATGGAGACTAACACAAGTCGGATGGTTACCTTGAATGGGTCCAATTATCATGTGTGGAAAGGGAAGATGGAAGATCTCTTGTATGTGAAGGATTATTATTTGCCCGTGTTTACCGATGAGAAGCCGTCGGATAAAACCGATAAAGAATGGGAGCTTTGTCACCGTCAGGTGTGTGGCTACATTAGGCAATGGGTAGATGATAATGTCCTCAACCACGTTAGTGAAGAAAAGCATGCACGGATCTTGTGGAATAAACTCGAAGAGTTGTATGCGCGGAAAACCGGGAACAACAAGTTGTTTTTGATCAAGCAGATGATGGCTTGAAAGTATCAGGATGGAAAGACTATGTCAGACCACTTGAACACATTCCAAGGAATCATTAATCAGCTGGCTGGAATGAATATCAAGTTTGACGATGAAATACAAGGGTTGTGGCTTCTTGGTACTTTACCGGACTCGTGAGAGACGTTCAGAACGTCTTTGTCTAACTCAGCCCCGAATGGAATTTGCTCCATGGATATGGTGAAGAGCAGTGTCCTGAACGAAGAGATGAGAAGAAAATCACAGGGTTCTTCTTCACAGACGGATGTCTTATTCGTTGAAAGGCGGGGGAGAAGTAAAAGCAAGGGTCCGAATGATAGAAATCGAAGTAATAGCAAGTCTGGAAGGTATGCAAACCTTGAGTGTCACCATTGTGGCAAAAAGGGACACATCAAGAGGTATTGCAGAAAGTTCCTCAGGGAGAATCCGAATGGCAAAGGCAAAGAAAAGAAAGCTGGAGATGGTGAAGACGGTGAGAAGGTAGCGGCGGCCACTGATGACTTTCTTATCATTTATGAAGGCGATGCCGTCAATGTCGCTTGCCAGGAGACTAGTTGGGTGATCGATAGCGGTGCTTCAATTCATGTCACATCGCGAAGGGATTTCTTCAGGTCATACACTCCCGGTGACTTCGGAAGTGTTAGGATGGGAAATGATGGTATTGCTAAGGCAGTTGGCATGGGAGACGTGCACTTGGAGACTGAAAATGGCAACATCTTAGTTTTGAGAGGGGTGAAGCATGTTCCCAACATTCGCATGAATTTGATATCTACTGGCAAGCTCGATGATGAAGGGTTTTGTAACACCTTTCGAGACGGAAAGTGGAAACTCCCCAAGGGATCCTTGATTGTGGCGAGAGGGCAAAAGTATTCTTCATTGTACGTGATGAACGTGAAGATTGTGGATCCTATGATCAATGCGGTGGATGATGAACGCACTGTGGAACTTTGGCACAACCGACTTAGCCACATGAGCGAGAAGGGTTTGACAGTGTTGGCCAAGAAGAATCTCCTCCCAGGTGTAAAAACGGGTTTTCTGAAGAAGTGTGCTCATTGCTTGGCGGGGAAGCAAACCAGAGTTGCCTTCAAGAGAGTTCCCCACCCACGCAAAACAGGTATTTCAGATATGGTCCACTCTGATGTATGTGGTCCAATGAAGACGAGAACACTTGGTGGTGCCTTGTACTTTGTGACTTTCATCGACGATCATTCAAGGAAGATTTGGGTGTATATGTTGAAGTCAAAAGATCAAGTTGTAGACGTCTTCAAGCAGTTTCATGCTCGTGTGGAACGAGAAACATGTGTGAAGCTTAAGTGCATCCGAACAGATAATGGAGGTGAATATTGCGGCCCGTTTGATGAGTATTGTAGGCAGCAGGGTATTCGACACCAAAAGACACCTCCAAAGACTCCTCAGTTGAATGGGTTAGCTGAGAGGATGAATCGGACACTAGTTGAGAGGGTGAGATGTTTTCTTTCGCAGTCACAGTTACCGAGGTCCTTTTGGGGTGAAGCCTTGAGTACAGTGGTGCATGTTTTGAATCTTACTCCGTGTGTTCCATTGAATTTTGAGGTTCCAGACAGGATGTGGTCGGGAAAGGAAGTTTTGTACAATCACTTGCGTGTTTTTGGATGCAAGGCCTTTGTTCATATTCCGAAAGATGAGAGGTCGAAGCTCGACATGAAAACAAGGCCATGTGTGTTCGTCGGTTATGGCCTCGATGAGTTTGGATACAGGTTCTATGACCCAGTGCAGAAAAAGCCTGTAAGAAGTCGAGATGCGGTGTTCGCAGAAGACCAGAGTATAAAAGACATCGATAAAGCCGAGATGACAGAGAAGTACAACGATGATCTGGTTGATTTAGATCCAGTTCCTATACCTACTGTGTATCCTGATCAAGGGAGAGCGGCGCCAGAGACTGATATTGGTCCTGCAAATGGTGATGTCCCCAATGGTGATGTCCCCACAGTTGATGATGTTGAGCCAACTGATGAAGTTGAAGAAGGGGTTCAAGAACCACCAGAAGAACCTAATTTGAGGAGATCCAGTCGAGAGCGGCGTCCGTCTACTAGATACTCCTCAAATGAGTATGTGATGATCACCGATGCCGGAGAGCCAGAAACCTACCAAGAGGCAACCTCAGTCGATGAAAAGAAGCAGTGGTTGAAAGCCATGGAAGAAGAGATGGAGTCTCTTCACGAGAACCACACTTATGACTTGGTGAAGTTTCCTAAAGGCAAGAAAGCGCTAAAAAACAGATGGGTATATAGATTGAAGATTGAAAATGCTAGCTCGCAGCCACGATTCAAGGCACGATTGGTTGTGAAGGGGTACGGTCAGAAAAAGGGAATCGACTTTGAAGAGATATTCTCACCGGTGGTGAAGATGTCCTCAATTCGAGTTGCTCTTGGTTTAGCGGCGCGGTTGAACTTGGAGATCGAGCAACTTGATGTGAAAACTGCGTTCTTCACGGCGACTTGGAAGAAGAAATTTATATGGAGCAGCCCGAGGGATTCCAAGTTCAAGGCAAAGAGCATCTTGTATGCAGATTGAAGAAGAGCTTGTATGGCCTTAAACAAGCTCCGAGGCTGTGGTACAAGAAATTCGACTCCTTCATGGTGAGTCACGGGTACAGCCGAACATCGTCAGACCATTGTGTGTTCGTCAAGAGGTATTCCGATAATGATTTTATCATTCTCCTCTTGTACGTTGATGATATGTTGGTCATAGGCCATGATACTAGCAAGATTGCTCAGTTGAAGAGAGACTTAAGCAAGTCCTTTGCGATGAAAGACTTAGGAGCGGCGAAAAAGATACTCGGTATGAAGATCTCTCGTGATAGAAAGAATGGGAAGCTATGGTTGTCCCAGGAAGACTACATTGATAAGGTACTTGAGAAATTTAACATAAGCAAGGCAAGGGTGGTGACCTCTTCACTTGCAGGTCACTTCAAGCTCAATTCGGAGCAATGCCCTACAAGTGAAGAAGACAAGGCAGACATGAGTCGAGTTCCTTATGCGTCTGCAGTTGGCAGTTTAATGTATGCCATGGTGTGCACCAGACCCGATATTGCTCATGCTGTTGGAGTAGTCAGTCGTTTTCTCTCCAATCCGGGAAGCGAACATTGGGAAGCCGTCAAGTGGATATTGATATATCTCAGAGGTACCTCAAGAGCATGTTTATGCTTCGGTGGTGGTGATCCTATGCTGGTTGGATATACCGATTCAGATATGGCAGGTGATGTTGATTCCAGAAAGTCCATTTCAGGATTTCTGATGACTTTTGCAGGGGGAGCCGTGTCGTGGCAGTCTAAGCTGCAAAAGTGCGTTGCGTTATCTACCACAGAAGCCGAGTACATTGCGATTACAGAAGGGTGCAAAGAGGCTTTGTGGATGAAGAAATTCTTAGAGGAATTGGGGTTACACCAGGAGAAGTATGTTGTGTTCAGTGATAGCCAAAGCGCTATCCACCTCTCCAAGAACTCGTCATTTCATTCGAGGTCCAAGCACATTGAAGTGAGGTATCATTGGATTCGAAACGTTCTCGAATCAAAACAATTGCACTTAGCGAAAGTGCACACGAGTGAGAATGGTGCAGACATGATGACGAAGACTTTGCCGAAAGAGAAGCTTGAAGTATGTCGGCGAAGAGCGGGCTTGTTGGAGCCCACCACTTGATCCGGAGGGGGAGTTTGTTGAGTCCGGCCCAATTACGGTGGGCTTGGACTAAATAAGGGCCAAAGGCCCATTCTCTTTAATAAAAAGAATAAAAAAAAAATCTGCTTGATATAACCTACGCAGCGCAGCAACGTAGAAGAAAAAGGAACAGAAACAAGTTTATACACTCATCTTTTTCATTCCCGCAACTACACTGTGCAGTCACAGGAAATCGCCGATTCCCGGAGATTTCACCGTTGGATCGTCACCAAATTTGGACAGCAGGTCCATAACTTCTTACTCTTCGTTTTGAACGGTGGAGATCGGATTTTGAGCACTTTTGGGCTGTCTGTTCGTAAGTCACCGTTTTGAATTGTTTCTTGTGGTTTGCCAAGATCTTGTGTTGTGATCTTGAAGATTGTTGTTTGCCTCTAGTTTGATGAACTAGAGAGGATTTCAGTTGTACCCATTATCGGATTGAATAGTGGATGATTTAAGCGGCCTACGGGTCCCGTGGTTTTTACCCAATTTGGGGTTTTCCACGCTAAAAATCTCGTGTCATTTTATTGCTTGCTTGATCGTTGTTTGGTTGCTCTTGCTTGTGGTTATTGTTGTTGTTGATTGGACTTGGTGCTTTATTATTCGGTTAAAGTCGGCTTTAACCACAACAAATCCTTCATCAATCCATAGTTTGAGGAGCGTGGGGACGTGAATCTGATGGTACTCCAGGAATATGCCCATGTAGAGAAAACACGGCTTCAGGTGGACCGGAAGTTGATTGTAGCTCAACTTTAGTATTCTAAAGCAACGCTTGCCCTCCCCTAAATTAACAATCGAGCTTAAATTTTCTAAAACATGTTGCCAGTTTTCATGTGTCTGTTCAGACTTTGTTAGGAGTCCTCCGATCACGATAATTGACAATGGAAGGCCTCCGCAGTTCCTGGCAATCTCCTTCCCAATCTCTTCCAATTCCGAAGGGCACCCTTGTTCCCCAAAAGCGCACTTACGCAGCAGTTTCCAGCTTTTGTCGGGATTCAGAAAACTCATCTGAAAGTAATTCGGGCCATCCAGCTGCAAAGCCACTTTCGATATCCTTGTGGTTATCAATACTCTGTTCCCGTCTTTGTTATCTGGAAAGAAGCGCTTCACCCTGTCCCACGCGTCCGTACCCCAAATATCATCCATCACAATCAAATACCGTCGGCCATATAAGCTTTGATACAGGTTTTGTCCTAATTCTTCATATTCACTGTCCTCACTCCCCATGGTTTTTTTCAAACAGTCAAGGACTTCAAACAAAATCCTTTTCGAATCAAATTCTTGAGACACTGTAGCCCATCCGCGAATATCAAAATGTTCCACAATAAGTTGATGTTCGTAAATTCTTTTAGCGAGAGTGGTCTTACCAATACCGCCCATGCCGGCAATAACGATGATCCAACGATCAGATTGTCGATTGGTCAGCTTATCCATGATGTCGTTCATGACATCATCGGAACCCACCATCGTGTCGTCCACCTCCGAATAAGGATTGTTGTTTAGCTTATCCATGATGTCGCTCATGACATCATCGGAACCCAATGTGGCGTCATCCTCCATGCAAGAAGGAGCGATTTTTTTCCACGCCTTGTCTTTAACAGCAGCCACGTATTTTGTGATGGAATCCAAGTCGCGCATCACTCTCTGTAGCTCTTGATACAAAGAGATGTTGTCGTTCGAACCGATGTTAGATTTCCCACGAGCATCGATATGATCGGCAATGTGGGACTCTATTATATCCTCTGCTTTGTGAGCCGCATCGGCCATACGCCCCACTAAGCCATCTGCATCATCAATGGCATAGTTTTCGAGAAAATGCAGCAAATAAGTAACCATTTCTATCAGAGGTTGGATTTGTAGTTTGTGGAGGGAGATGGGCGGGCGGGGGTGATTTTGGATTCGGTGTATGGTGTTGGTAAGAGAAAGGAGAGCAGCATAAGCTTCCATGGATCCCCTGTTGGTGAAATGAAATCCAATCGGCTTTAGTTTGAAAGAGTGTGTGATTTGATGAGAACTGAAGCCAGGATTTTTTTTTTTTTTTTCTGAAATTGTTTGTGGTGAAGAAAAAGAAAAACAAGACTTGTATTGTATGTGCTGTGATTTCAGATTTGTGAAACAAGAAGTTGCTCCATTGTTGCAAAACGTTGACTTCCAGTTGGGACCACTAATTATATTTAATTTAATCTAAATTATTGTATGATTAGGTGCCTCAAATAGACACAGGTTTCTGTCATACTTAAAAAAAAATGGTTTGAAATGTCATATATTTATTTTTTTAATATTTTATTTTTAAACATTGATAACATATTATTATAGTAGTTATAACTATTTTTTTTTTTCTTTTTACATTATACAGGTCGGAGTACCATCCTCATTCGATGAAAATGGGATTACCCTGTAGGTAAAAAATTCTACTTTTATATAAAAATTTATGTTTATCTTTTAATATATATTAAGCTATCTACTAAAATTATCTATCAACCAAATGTTTTTTTTTTTTT